CTCCCCCCCCCCCCCCCCCCGTGGCCTCCAGGCTGAGAGCACAGCCTTTCCTGGGCCGCCGGCCACTGTGCCCCCTGGGCCAGCCCGCGGCGACGGAACACCTCAGGCCTAAGCTGGTGAATAAATGCACACACTCTGCACCTGCCGTCTCAAGCCCCCTGCGCTGCCTGGGCCCCAGTGCACCAAGTCACGCCAGGGCCTGCACCGCAGCTGCCAGGCCCGCCACGCCCTCCCTGGGCCGCTGCCTGTCCTCGGGACCGGGACACGCTCGGAGCGGAGCGGCGCCGGCTGGGAAGCTCCAGCGGGAGGGCAGGGACAAGGCGGTCTTTGTCTCCTCGCAGTCGGCCGTGTGAGACCTGCCCACGTCCCGCCTCCCCTGCTGCCGCCTACCTGGCGCTGGGCACAGCGCAGCGTTCCGCGCCTCAGTGTCCTTCCTGGCCCCCTGGTGCGTCAGGTGTGTGAGGTCCTGGGGCTGCACCAGGCAGGAGGACACGCCCTGTCCCTGCCCCAACCCTCACCCCACCCCTGCAGTAGCGGGGCGCCCATTCCTCCTGCTGGGCTTTTGGCATTGCCAGTGTCCCTCGAGGTCCCACGTTCCTGTTTGCTCATGCTGTGGTGTTTGTCTCCCCTGGCCCTGCCCGCGCAGCCGTGGCTGTGGCTGCATCCGATCCTCCGCCCCGCCGGCACCCAGCGGGACACAGTGGGCAAGTGGGTGACATCTGGAAGGACAGACCCCCAGACGGCCACAGCTGAGCTGTGAGGGAAAGGCTGGGCACAAAGTGAACAGAGGACTGGCGAGGAGGGAGGAAGAAGCTGTGTTCTCCAAGGCTTACGGGCGGCCAGCCCTGCCACCTGCAGAGGCCATGGGTGGAGGACAGGCTGGGTCTGGGGGCCCAGTGAGAAGCAGAAGGGACCCTCCAGTGGGGGCTGCCTCTGTCACATATTCCCAGCCGGCCTGGTGCGGGCAGGTGCCCAGCAAGTGCCCGTGGGCTGAGGGCAAGGTGCCCAGGGGCTCAGCGTGCCAGGTTGGAAGCTCAGACAGGGCACCATCTGCCTGTCCCTGGCTCTGCAGGCTGGGCTGAGAAGGCCACCATGGCCCGCACACAGGGGCAGAAGCCAGTGCTCTCTGGGCACTCTGGAACTGCTTCCTGCTGGTGGCTCACCTGACGGCTGTCTCGCAGAAGGGACGGCTTCTGTGGTGTGTCCCAGCTCCTGGCATGTCCAGGCGACCTCTGACCATCAGCAACCACTCCTGGCTTCAGAGCAAGCCAAGGCGCCGGACGGCACGGCCCAGAGCGAGAGCGGCGAGCCTGGACCAGGTGCGGGCGGCTCAGACAGCAGCTGAGCTCGACCCCACCTGCCCATCCTTAGAGCACGGAAGCTGACGCCCACGGGACACGCCACCTAGAGCCTGAGACGAGTATCCCAGTACCTAGAATAGCCCCTGGTTCAACACATAAACACCTGCTGAATGCTGCACGCAGGGTATGCCCCCCAGGTGCTGGCAGCACAGGAGCCAAGGGACCGCTGGCGCTCGCTCGGCAGACCCTCCCTGCACCTGTCCTGCGCGGTGAGGGGTCAGCAGGAACTGACAGCCCCCGGTGGGCAAGTGCTGTCCAGGTTGTGCCGTGTGCCCTGCACACCTGGGCTGGGTGGTCAGAGAAGTCCCCTAGGGTACACCCTTCTCTCTGCGGCCGTCAGAGAGAGGGCCTTCCAGGTGGAGCCCAGTGCCAGTGCTGGGCACTTGGGGAACTTTGGGGAACGGGCTAGGGACGGTGGGCTCCAGGTGGGCTGTGGTAGATCTGGTCTCTTAGGACTGGATGCTCACCTGGTGGCAGCAGTGGGCCCAAACTGAGTGGAATGGGCAGGGGTGGAGCAAGGGAGAGGGCCGAGACAAGGTTAAAAAATAATACTGCAAGATATAATTAATTTCTGACTCATGGGCCAGCATCATCACAATCATCCCCTTCAACAGGTGTGGGCAGTCAAACAGGTGTGCAGCACAGGCTTACTTGCCACTTGGACTACAAAAGGGAGAGAAGTCTCATCTTGAAGATCAGATCCACGGTAAGACTCACTTTAACAAAAAGCCTGTACAGAAATGGAGAAATCCTTATTTGGGTGTTCTTCTTTCTAGTTCACAAAATAAGCCAGGGAAAATCCTCACCCCGGGGAAAGATCTTGGTTGATTTCCAGTTTGCCCTTCCAGAGCATTTTCAGATACCTGTTGTATTTTTCTGCCCAAAGCCTGAGATGCTGACTGGGTTTCTATGTTCCAGGAATTCTTAGACATCAAGGCTGTGGCCACTGTAACAGGGAACTGAGCCAGGAGCTGGCGTCTGGATGACAAGCTGTCCTGGTAATTCTTTGTCTAAACTATAAACTAGACAGAACTTCAAAGCCACATTTATAAAAGTGTGCAAATAACCACAGCCCAAAAGAAATGAAAAGTTACAGGCAGGCATATTTTGCAATTCTTAATTGGCTCTTTTTCATCTTGCTTTAATTATTGTTTGGTAAATGGTAACACTTCATTGGTAAATTAAGTGTTAATATTTTTGCGCTTTAAGTATTTTATCTGCAGGCCACCGTTGTCAACATTTGCTCCAGAAGGATGGAATCAAGGCCTAGGCCTCCCTTAAACAAAACATCCTTCCCCAAAGAAGGGCAATTTCCCCTCAGGCCCAAGAGACGAGGTCTCACTCTATCGTCCAGCCTGGAGTGCAGTGGCCCGATCATAGCTCGCTGCAACCTCGAACGCCTGGGCTCAAGCCATCCTCCTGCCTCAGCCTCCCAAAGTGCTCGGATTACAGGCGTGAGCCAGAGCACCTGACCGAGAAGAGCAATTTATTAAAAACTGCTTGCCATTCTTTGTTACTACAGACGTTCTCTGTGGATCTTTGACCAGTAACATGCACATATACACACATAGTTTGCAAACGAGAACTATTCAACGTGAAGTCCTAGGATGGTAAAGTTGGCCATCGTCTGAAGAAAAGTACTAATAGTCTCGACGAAACCCAAACGAAAAAAACACACACTGTCTACGTCAAGAGCTCTTTAAACATAAGAAACAGTTATCCTCGGGAATAAATGAGGTATGTGCAAACTCGCTAGCTGACTCCCTTATGCTTAAAAGTTCTGTCGACAGCCCCCGGAGTGGCGGCGGCACCTTCGGTTCCATCGGACCAAGGCAGCTGACACGGGAACCTTTGGGCCGCGGGACGGCTCAGGACAGGATGTCGGGGCGCCCCTCAACCTGGAGCACTGGGGGACGGGCCCCGGGCGGGCGTGCAGAACCGGGGGCGTCTCCCCTTGCAGTCACTCCTGCAGGCCAACCTCCCCAGGGCCCCCGCTTACCCGGCTCGGTGCCGCATCCCTGCGCTCGGCACCTCGCTCCGGGGCAAGCTGACAGCGGCGGCCAGCGAAGGCCCGGCAGAAAGGTGGGAGCAGAGTCTTCCTCCCGCGCCGCAGGGCAGCCATGACCCCCCGACCCCTGGCTCCAGCGGCGCACGGCCGAGTCGCGACAGCGCGAGGGGCTGCCTTACGGCAGAGTCGCAAAGCCTAAGGGACAAGAGCGGCGCGGCCGACCGTGCGCTTTCCCCGCGGTGTGACGGGCTGCGGGGGCGGCGGGCCGGCGCGGCGGACCCCGGCGGCCACTCTCCGGTCGCGCCATTCCCGGCCGCCTTACCGCGAGGCCAGCGGCCGACGCGGCGCGGCGCGGCGCGGCGCGGTAGGTGGCGAGGCGCGGACGCCGGCGGGGATTTCCCGGGGTGTGCGGTGTTCGGCCCAGGGGCGGGGCTGCCGGGCCGGGACGACGCCCCGAGCTGCGGCAGTCGTGGAGGCTGCGGGGCGCTCCATGGCGCGGGCGGTACAGGTGAGCGCGGCGGGCGCGGGGTCTTCTCCCCTCGCCGCGGGGCGGGCGCGGGTCCCGCGAGGGCTACCCTCCGCGGCGCCCACTTCGCGCGGCCTTTGCGCGCTGGCTAGGTCGGACCGCGCTCGGCGCCGTCCCCACCCCTGGATCCGACGCGGCCGGGCCGGCCGGGCCTCCCCCGTCGTCGCCGGGCTCCCCCGGGCGAGCCGGGTCTGCTCCCGCCCGGCCCCTGCCCGCCGGGCGCCCCCGCCCCCGCCCGCGCGCCCATTGTGAGGTCAGGCCCGGCCGGCGCGTCGGGGGCCGGGGGCGAGACGCCCCGAGCGGCCGCTGCGGCCAGTAGCTGCCGCCTCCACCTCCGGCCCCTTCACCGGCCGCCCCGTTCAGACCTAGCCGGGAGGGGTGAGAGGGATGCAGCTTGGGGCCCCGCTCCGGTGCCGCACCCCGTAAAGGGCTGATCTTCCACCTGGCCACCTCAACTACGGGAACCAAGACCGCAACCAGCTCAGACTTCTCCTGGGTAAAGCGCTGGGGGGGAGGGCGCCAAGGGGGAAGGAAGCGAGGCGCCCTGCCTGCGCGGGCCCGCGGCCTCGAGAGATTGGTCTCAACCGATTGTCCGCCCCGAGCGAGCCGCTTGGTAGAAACCCGAGAGTGAAAGATGCATTCAGCCATTCGGACTCTAAACGGGAGGCGAGTGAACGGGTTATTCGTAGCTGTCACGGTTTTGCGGGGTGTATTTTCGGAGCGCGGTAGGGACGAGGGAGGTGCTAGTCCTCGAAAGCCCAAGATGGTGCCTCCAACGTAATTCCTGTCGCTCTTCCTTTCCTGTGGAATTCTGTGCCTCTTCAGGGAGGCCGCTGCGGGGAGCACGCGTGAGAAGCTGCAGGGTCGGGTGGAGAAGTGCACAAAGGTGGAGAGGAACGTAGAGACGCAGGCTGCTGGGAGTAAAGACCACACAGATGGAGAGGGCTCAGAAGCTGGGAACCAATGGTACTTGTTTCAGTGGCTCAGTTTCTTTTGCTTAGAGTTACTTTTTTCTGGAAACAGGCGTGCCTATTTGGGGGGTAGAAGAGTTAAGGTGTTTGCTTTCCAGAGGGTCCCTGCTGGTTCAAAAACAGCTTACAACGTTAAAACATTCAGCTGTTAGTATTTGTGCTGTTTCTGAGGTGATTGTTCAACCTCTTATGAAGCATATGCTGCTCTCCTTTATAGCTGAAGAAACTTGAAATTCCCAGGCCAGAGCTTCAGCTTATGCCTCCACATTGCAGTGACTGCTGTCTGTTCTTACGTTTAGGTTATTTTCAGGAGAGGGATGATAAGTCGTTCCTTTATTTACTGGGGTATGCCTGTCTTTTGCATTGCAATAATGACAACCCTTTTATAAAGTATTTGTTTAAAAAATGAGGATTGTAGAACGAATTAATATACGATTAGCATTCTGCAGAGACTAAGATACATTTTTGTCATCTTTTAGTGCTTGG